GTATACAATAAAGAGAACCATGGCTAGTAACATTTACTGTACTGAGAACGGTCTGCTTAAAGGATAAGGGACATCTGACCTAAATTCTCCTCCATTTAGTTTAATCAGTCTTAGGTAACAGTTACATCATTTGATCTTATAAACAAAATGCTTTATCTTCAAGAGAGGTTTGATATGTTTGGTAGTTTGGTGAATTAAAAGAACAAAGAGAGGGTGGGTAATAGCTCAGTCGGAGAACATGTGTTTAGCATGCATGAGGTCCTGGGTTCAATCCCCAGCACCTCCATTAAAAAATAAAAGAGTAAAGAACTGAAATCCCTTGTCCACCTCTGTCGCTATCTAGCCCTGTGGCCCTGGCGGGCTCTCCTATAACACAGAGATAATGACAGACTGCCGAAATCTCAGCTGAAGCTTGTGGTGAAACACCAAAGAGGTCGCTCACATAGTGCAGCGGGGACCAAGGGCCCTACACTATAATTTGTTCACAGGACGTTGAAAAAGAAGCCCAGGTGTTTATTAGATCTGTAACACTAACTTATAGCATCTACGACTAGACTTGCAGTTAGATAACCAGTAAGTACTAGTCTCCCCTCCCTCAACACTAGCTGAGGGACCTGGATCAGCCTGTGTTTCTCATGCTCTTGGTACAAACTCCCTGGGTTGGCAAAGTCCCGGTGCTCATTCCCCAGGAACTGCTGCCTTGCTATTGGATTACTCTTACAATTCCTTCTAATCTGTTAAAAAAAAAAAAACTGAAAAATTACAACTGGCTACATGGTGCTTAATTTACATATCATCCATTCCAGTGTTTCTCAGACTTACTTCTTTGTAAGAATCACAGGAGACCCTGGTTAACACACATTCCCGGTTCCCACCCTGAATCTATGGAGTCAGGCGTTCCAGGGGAGGGACCTGGGACTTAATATTTTTCAAAGGGTCCTCAAGTGATTCTAACAATCAGGTAAATTTGGGAAACTTTACATTAGGATCAACATTTTGATAGTGAATCCTAATGCCGGCATAAATTCCATGATAAAAGACGCAGCGTGGCTACTTGAGTGACGGCGCTTCTACCCTAACAATTAGATGATTTGAGTAGTTGTAAAGAGCTACATTAAGAAAGACGTTTTAGAGGTCCCTGTTGTCAGGCTTTCCAGGATGTAGCACTTGGAGGAGGTCCACAGCAAAGGCGCTGTCCCAGAAGTCCATGCTCCGTTAAGAGGTTTTGGGAACTCAGTTTTGCTCCCTAGCTGATCCTTTCTGGTCCTCTCCAGAGCTTTCCTGGCTGCACTCCTGCTGAGAATGAATCTCTGGCCTCTTGCTCTGGGGCTTATCAAGCTGTATGGCTGACAGACCACCTGGTGTGACTGGCCAGCCGACCTAGCCTGCCTGGCCCTGGGACTACAGCTCCTCCCCCAGGGCATGATCCCATTGGTCTTGTTTGCTTTTTGGTAGCACAGAAACAAGCCTGGTAACATGAACAAAGAGAAAGAGAAACGTGGTGCTAGCCCACCTCTATACCCCTCCCTGGTTCAGTCCCCCAGTAAGGGAGTAAAAGCATCTTCCTTTTGTCTCATTGGGGGTCAATGCCATGTGTTACTGTCACTCGGTGCCCAATGACACCGTCCCCCAGATCGTGACCACTTACCCTTCTCTCCACCCCCTATCCTGGCCAAATACACAATTTCTCCATGTCTGGTCAGCTTCTGAGTAGCCCACCAAGATTCACCCAAACCCTCATTCCCTCACTAAGGCTTTTTCTTAACACGCAGGCTCTAAGAGGGCCAGTCAGCCCTAGCTACCCAGGAAATCATCTAATGGCTAACTTCATACCTAGACCTACTAAATGACCTTGAGCAAATCACTTCACTTATCGGAGAGTCAGTTCCCTTAACAGCAAAAAGAGAGAAGTGGATTCAACAATATGTAGGATATTAGATTAGGATATTAATTTGGATAATATTAAGATATTAGCTAGCTCTAGATGTCTATTGTTTTCTATAAGAATCTTATTTCTACTTTACCATATCCCCCTAATTATAGGAGGGAAATGTAGTTTCCTATTAAGGGAACTTTCGGCTTAAGTGAGGTAGGTCAGGGAGATTGGTTTTTGTTTGTATTTTTTGGCCAGGGGCCTCTGGAATTACACCATATGGATAGTCATCAAAATACAGGTACAAGAAAGCCATCCCTCCAATTTTCTATTTTCATATTTAGCGACAACTGTATGCTTATAAACTTGCAGGTTTATTTCTTTATATGGTTGGTACAGTAGCTCTAGTTTTGTCGAACAGTAATTGTTTGAACCCACAATCATTGGGATGTCTTAGTCGCTGTGACTATTCCGGTAATTACATAAATTTCATCCTTTTTGGACTCAAGAAGATTTTAATATCATGGCTCTTAGAAATGGATTTTCCACTATTTTAGCATCTTATATTCTTTGCCTTTTTAACAGACCTGACATCTCTTTGTACGAGGTAAATCTCATTTTCTGGCTGGGACGTCTTTTAAATTCAAAAACCTTTAAGATGAAATTGCGTCAGGGGAAACATTAATGTGTGAAATGGCATGGCATGGGATTGTATGGTACTAAAGAATCAGTAATGACAGGTTTGTTCTTGTCAGAGGCATAGATAAAGCAGCACTTGTAGGCTCTCAAATAGGGGCCAAAGGAATCAGCCAGTGAGAAAGCACCAACTTCTGATTAAAAACTGTAAAAGCAGTTGATACATCTTACATACCTCTTGTCCTTCTGGGTTAAGTCCTTTCATATGTGACTTGTGGCTGCATTGATAGAGCATTTGGTGAGGTGGGGAAAGAGCACTGTGGTCAAATCTTCACAGCATTTTTTGTTTAAAAACTCACTAGGTTTTTGCCTCCTGTACTTCCTCCTGTGAGCCTGTTTTCCGAGATGCTGATGGCATCATTTTCCATCGCTGTGGTAGCTTATGCCATCGCAGTGTCTGTAGGAAAAGTATATGCCATCAAGTATGATTACACCATCGATGGGAACCAGGTAGGGTCACCCGTTGGCTGAACTGGTTTTGAAGGGCTGCAAATAAGGAGAAAACAGAAAATGGAAAAGATTTTGTTGTCTGCTAAAGAAGGGACTGGTTTCTTCCACCCACCTCTATTGAGTTGGTTTCTCTCCTGTGTATGCTAATGTGAAATTATTTTGAAATCTGTGTGCTGTATCGCTTTACTTTTTAAAATCTATTTTACTGTTTATCCATATTTTATTTCATTATATATCTCTGAAAGATAAGATAAGCATTTAAAAAACACAATCATGATACATCACTTATATTAAAAAACGAGCTGCAACTCCCTAAAAACATCTAATATCCAGTCCGTTTCTAGGTATAACCACAATATCATTTTCACAACTAAAAATTTTAACAGTAATTCCTTAATAACATCAAATATCTAGTCAGTTTTCAAATTATCTTAAAAAGTTTTTTTTAAACAGTTGTTTTGTTTGCCTAAGTATCCAAACAAGCCCCATGGGTTGTATTAGCTTGATATAGTTCTTTTTTACATTTTTAAAACATTTATTTTTCTTAATTGAGGCATAGTTGATGTACATTATTATATGTTTCAGGTGTATAACACAGTGATTCACAAGTTCTAAAGGTTATACTCCATTTATAGTTATTATAAAATATTGGCTATATGTCCTTGCTGTATACATCAATTTACTTTTTAAGAAATAAGTTGAAGTAATCCTAATTTAAGAAAATAATTCAGTCAAATCGTAAGTAACATTTAAGGTTAACATATTAAGTCAGAATAAGAATTCTTCATGTAATCTAGTATCTCCCAGTAATTTTTTTTAAGTGATGGTTATAATACAGCAAAACAATGCAACAAACATCAGTAATATGTTGTGACCATTTTAAATTGAGGCAGTTCACTGTGCAATGGTAGGTTTCTCCCTCAGTCCAAAAGTAGAGTGTTCCCATGAAATCTTTCTTAAGCTGAAATGGTGTCAAGTGAAGAAGCAATCACCTTAGGACACATCTTGAAAACAGATGCACGAAATAAACCGAGATGGAGAACAAGTGTTCACAATAATACAGTTAAGAGTGATAGCAGCTTGATGCTGAGATGCTGAGTGTGGTTCCTGGGGAAGGAGCTTGGCGGTGCCGCTCTCCCTGCTTGGGGGTGGGGGGCGGCACGCAGCCTCTGTACTGGCTTACTGCAAAACAAACGCTTTCGCCCTTTTTCATGAAAGCGAAAATCCTCTTGAGATTTCCTTCCGTTAGCAAAAACAAGTACTAATGTAGGTCTCTCACAAAAGCCAAGTGGCGCAAAGCGAACTTCCGAAAAGCAGGGGATGCCTGTAATAGCTACAGGACAGTTTTTATAGCGTATGATATGTTACCAGGTGAGCATTTTCCACTGCTCACAAAGCTGCAAGTACTGTGTTTCTGAAAACACAGCATAGCAATTACAGCACTTAGACAATTAGTACTCAGAATAGTAGCTCTCTTAGTCATAATATGCTTCGTAGCAAATATCCAACCACAGAAAAAATGTTTTATGTGAGAGCTCCACAAATGCCATTCACCAGGAAGTGAAATTAGCATTTGAGCAAAAGATCAATTCTTGAGAACAACTGGGAGCAGTGAGGCCTCTCTCAGGCTCAGTGGATGTCTTTCAAGGGCTCCAAGCACCTTTAATGGTAAGAACAAAACTGGGGATCCCAGGCAGGGTGGGTTTGGGAGGTGGCTTTCTTAACGTTCTTCTTTAAACCCTCCTGGTGATGATCTTACCAAGACTGTATTTGGAACATCACTCTCATCTAGTCTCTCTTTTAGGAATTCATTGCCTTTGGGATCAGCAACATCTTCTCTGGATTCTTCTCGTGTTTTGTGGCCACCACGGCCCTGTCCCGCACGGCTGTCCAGGAGAGCACGGGGGGAAAGACACAGGTATGGAAGCAGTGCGGTGATCCCTGCCACAGAGAGTGACTCAGGGCAGTGGTGGCTCAGAAAGGCTTGCACAAGCTCTGAGCAGGACAATTAGCCTTTGAGGAAGAGAGAAACTTGCCCTTTCTGACCTGATTTCACCTCGGGCCTATCTCTCTTCGGGATCTACCCCCTTCCGGAAAACCTCGTCAACAACATTTATGGTTTTCTGATGCAGCCATTCTCCAGCCTCTTTGTGTCCCTGCTTAGCTGGCAGACAGCTATGCTTACCTGCTTTTTCAGGGAAAATAACCGTTGACAAGCAATCAGTAATGAAGAACGCTGATTTTTTACCAATTTGTTATCTGAGGATAGAGAAGGCCTGGTAGTAAGAGCACTTCATGGCTGAGTGAGTTATTACATTTTCAGGAAAATGAAAAGCGTCAATTTATATTTCCTTTATAAGAGTCAGGGACTTCCTCCAGAAGAGTTTGGTCCCACAGAACAGCAGTTTGCTGGCCAACGTTATTTTTGTTGGAACATTTTGGCATTTCTCCCTGAGTAAATTTTTGTTCCTGGCATTCTGAATGTGGGTTTAATCCTGCTGTTTAAATGTGGTTTTTAGTTGTTGCCTTTGCAAGGTGACCCAAAACCCAGCATCCCAGTTAATCTCTGGCAAACCCCTCCTTCAATCGGCCAGAAAGTTTGGGAGCTGTTCTCGGAAGCTATCCTTTCCAGCCACATGTGAGACAGCAAGGCCCAACCAGTGGATGGGGCAGGAGGCAGGCTCAGGAACTAGGCTTCTGTTTGTTGGCGAGTTTTCTCCTAACAGCACAGAAAGAACTATTACTGAAGAGTGAAAAGTTCATTGAGACAATAAAGAACAACAAACCCAAAGTAAATAGTGTAACACACACACATACACACACATATACATCCCCCTGCCCTTACACACGGTCTTCAAATAAGGTTTCTTTAAGGCAGAGACACTTACAAATAAGCATGAAAGCGAGTAACTGAGATAACTGACTCCAACCCTGAGCTTCCCTAGGAAAGTTTTCATTGTCCCCAAAGTGCCCGTGGTATTCCTTTCCATTTTTAAAAAATTAAAATAAAAATCTTTTGATGGAGGCACTGGGGATTGGACCCAGGACCTTGTGCGTGCTAAGCATGCGCTCTACCCCTGAGCTATTTCCACCCCTCTACTTTCCCATTTATAATAGGTCTTTGAGACGGGGTTGGAAGAATCAACTTCTTCCCATTTCATGGCTCCTGCTGAACAAAAATTTAATTTTCATTTTCAGAATTTTTATTTTAAAAATGGAGTATTCTTTTTTTTTTTCCTGCAAACATTTCTAGTTCTGAGGGAGCACGTAAAACAACACAGCCCCAACAGGAAGCGTGAGCGCAGATCTGGGGTCAAGGGGAAGAGGTCGGGGGTGATTTCCAGAGTTGCCCATATTCGGGGGCAGCTGTCAGCAGCGAGAGTTTCTGCTGCTTCCACTGGAAATGGGGCACTGATGAGCTCCCCAGAACACACGGCTGTAAGAGGATGCAGGCAGACCCCCACATGGTGGAGTGATCTCCACACTCCTGCTGTTACCTGCAGGCTCAGAGGAGGCACACCCCCCTCCATACGACCCTGCCCACCGCCCCCCAGAGAGAATGCCCATGTAAAGTGATTCCTTGGCAGAGGGTTTGGGGATAATGGTGTTCTGGTAAGCTAATAGCCCCTGCCACACACTGGCGTGTATTATATTTAGGAATGAAGGATGCCAGGATTTCAGTATTGAAGAATGAAACAAGCACAGAAATAGCTTGATATTTAATTACTGAAACGTATACTAAATTCTGGGGTTAAAAGTCTAAATGCCTGGACTGAAATCCAGGGACTCATGATCAAATAAACTGGCAGGTCTTCCCTTGTGTGGCTTCTCATGCTCCCTTTTAATGTTGGAGCCTCAGTTTCAGCATCTATGCAATGGGGATAATCACTGAATCCATCTCATAGGGATGTTGTGAGGATTGAGTAAGAAAATGTTTGTAAAATCCCTGCCCATACTTGTAAATGTTGATCATTCCAGTCATTAGTTTCTCCAGGTAGGAACAGTGTCTTAGTACCTGAGACACATACGTTGTACCTGACACGTGAAACATCCAGCATGTATTTGCTGAGTGAACGAATAGAAGCATGAGTGTTGGTGGGCATCAAGTGTTTTCAGCACATCTGCAGATGGTAGAAGAGCTCATCGCTGCAACCTGCTCTTTCAGTCCAACCTGACTGCTACTGATTCATGAAAAAGTAATTCTGATGACAAACTACTCTCTAGCTGATTACCTTCTCACTCAACAGAATTAATTTTCTAGTAATCGAGTCTGCTCAGAGATATAAAATCTACAGCATTCCCCACAAAATAAGTAATTTCTCCTTACAAATTAAGTACAGGTAATGGGTCACTCACAGACTTTAATATAGTAATGAAAATTAATCTTGGTCCCCCAACTGCAGGCTAATTATTCCCTATGCTTGGTGAGTCGGTGGCCACCCTCCTGGCGTGAATTGGGCAGCTGGCTATGGTTCCTGTCCCCAGCTCTCCATCTCTCTCACCAGTCCATAGAGCCCTACATCCACAGTGAGATACATATGGCTCAGGACAGACAATAGATATGGTTAAGAAACTGCATGGAAGGAAGGAGGGAAGGCGGGAGAGAGGATGCTAGCTTCTCTTAGATAGGAGAGGGGAAAGCTCACAAGGAACTGGGAACCCAGAGGTATGGTTCTGGGAGGTAATAAACTGTCTAGGAAGGAGATCTGTCTGGACAGAGCAGACTTTTCAGTACATCATGTACATAATACTGCCTCAGGCTGGTCTAGCTGTCCTCTGAACGTGCATGATCAATTTGCCAGGTGGAGAGAATGAGTGTGACTATGAAATTGCCTTAAGTTTTCGGATTTTCTATGTATATTGGCTTTTTGCGTCTCCTTTGACTCAAGCATCTTGCACGTGGCAGTACTTGTGCCCAATGCAACCTTCTCTGCTGCTTCCCCTCTGATCGCTTTGCCTCTGGCTCCCTGTCTCCTCTCCTTTGTTTCAGAGCTTCTAGCCTTCACCTCGGCCAGGTCCCAGCTGTCTCAGCAGAGAATCCACTGGTCATCTAATCACACCAGAGAATAGTCCCCACCCCCTCAGCCTCTCTCCTAACTATTTATGGATCTTAGGAGAGCTTTTTTGCCAGCGAAGGTAAAGTTTCTGAAGCTTCCTTTTCTCCTGCTAATTGACCCGCCTTCACTGGGGCTGCCACGGGGCACAGCTCTGAGCCTGCGTCTGTGCAGCTGGGAGAGGATGTGTGGTCTCACCTCTCAGCAGGCTCCTGTGGTTTTGTGAATTTGCAGTGGGACTGGTAAGCATATTTTCTATGAGATTTTCATGGCAGCCATGTGCTCAAAAGCATTAGCAGAATTGTTATCAGGCTGCTGATTCAATAATGCAGAAGAATCAGTTTCGTGCTGAGAATGTATTTCCCAAGCACTTTACGAGGATCTGTTGTCGAGAAAGGGGGGTGGTCCCTGTTTCCTGGTATGGCAAGTGACTAGAAGTTTGCCCTCCTGAACTGACACCAAAAGTATAGGTCTGTAATATATCCAAGGGCAATCCAGGTCAAATAGGCTATCTCCACATTTAATTTCTCTGCCACAGCTACTAAATATATGGGTTCCATTTTCCCTCAGTTTTGTAGAGTTTTAGCAACTAATTCTCATTTCTCTCAACAGTATTGAGCAGAAGGGGGGAGGTCAGGAAGCGCCAAGTGCACCCCTCAGCGGGCTTTCTCACGCACATATCCAGCAGACAGACATCCAGAGGGGACGGGATGAACCCTGTTGATGGGAGATGTGTGTCTTTCAGGTTGCCGGCATCATCTCAGCTGGGATCGTGATGATTGCCATTGTTGCCCTGGGGAAGCTTCTGGAACCCTTGCAGAAGGTATAACCCTGCTTCTCCCCACCCTGATTGCATAATCTCCCTTCACTGCTCTGCCCCCAGAGAAATAAAAGATTTAAACATCATCACATGGAAATCCATTCCCCAGCGTAACACAGCCTTCCCTGTCTCCCCTGGCAGTCGGTCTTGGCAGCTGTCGTAATTGCCAACCTGAAAGGGATGTTTATGCAGGTGTGTGACGTACCTCGCCTGTGGAGGCAGAATAAGACTGATGCCGTAAGTCACTTACCCATTTTTCTCTGAAATAAGAATTGCTTCTTACGTGCTTCTTGCCTATTACTCCATCCCTGTATCTCCTAAGTCTGACTTGCATTTTGGGACTACAGCAGAAATTAGAATTTTGTGGATGAGCCAAAGCTGCGAAACCTCCCACGTGAGCTGTGTTTTGTGAAAGTCCTGTATCTCTGGGAAGATGGAATTCCAGCAAGAATCCCATAAGAACTCATTCATATACCCTTGGCCTTCTAAAGCCAAAAAAGAAAACAAACAAACTTTATATATATTAAAAAAGAATCCTCAGGGCAGGGTAGAGCTCAGTGGTAGAGCGCATGCTTAGCATGCACGAGGTCCTGGGTTCAATCCCCAGTACCTCCTCCAAATATCAATAAATAAACCCAATTATCTTCCCCATAAAGAAAAAAGAGGAAAAAAAAATAAAAAAACCCCAAAATCCTCCAATTTAGAAGGACAAACAAAACAAAATGCAAACAAAGCAAAAACAATAAGCCAAAATACAAAAACCCACACATTATAATTCTGATTAAAGTCACATTTACAACTGTTCTGAGGACTGGTTGAAAAAAAAGAAGATAAACCCTTTTGAATTCTTCTCTAATTTAAACCAGAACAGATAAAAAGAATGGGAAAATTTCTTATATATCAAGATGGAAAGACCTCCAAGACAAATTGTTAAGTGAAAAATGCCAGGGCGATACAGAGGACTGTGTATAACACATTAAAAGATGGGGAAATAAAATACGCTTTGTAGTCATATTTGCTTGTATTTGTGAAAAGTCATGAGCAAAAAGTGTACACGTGTGCACACATACACACAAATAAAAGATAGCAGAAGGGAGACAGGTTGGGAGTAGGGAAAAGGCTGCAAGCAAGATTTTTCACTGCACACCTTTCTTATACTAATTTGATTTTGAACTATGTTATTATATTACCTGTTCAAAAACTACATTAAAATATTTAAATGGGACATATATTTAAATATTTAAATGGCCTTTATTGAAAAGGCCGATTTTCACTTCCACTTAAAATATGAAATGAAGTCAGGCTATTTTAAAAAGCTGTGATTTGTTCATGGGCAATTGATCTTATTATTTTTACAGGTAGTCACTCACCTGATGGCACCTGATGAAGAATTAACATAATTCTTTCCATTTCCATATTTTCCTAGGTTATCTGGGTGTTTACATGCATAGCATCCATCATTCTGGGGCTCGACCTTGGTTTACTAGCTGGCCTTATATTTGGATTTCTGACTGTGGTCCTGAGAGTTCAATTGTGAGTAATACAAGATCCAGGTTACCTATAAACAGGACAGCACACCCTGAGATTTCTTATACTTCCTTTCATAATGGTTCCTACATACTGAGTGCTTCTATGAATTAAGCATACGGTACTTTACCCACGTTGTTATATTTAACCTTCAAAAAAGAAATCCTGTGAATAGGTTTTATTATTCCCATTCTACGCATAAGATCATTGAAGCTCAGAAAGGTTAAGAACCTTCCCCAAGATCACACAGCTAGTAAGTGGCTGAGCCAGGATTTGAACCCAGGTGATTCTCACCCCAAAATCTATGCACTTATTCACCTACTCTACTGCTGTGCTCTCTCCTGAGTCATGGTGAGACTAAAAGATACATTTGGTTCAGCAAAAGACTGAGGTGGCTGTGTAGTTTCTTTATAAAATGAGATGAAGTCTGAGAGGCACTGGGCCCAAGGCTTGGAACCAGACAACTGTTAAATGTATTACAGCTCATTTTCTTTGGAAGCTCGTAACCCAGAAGTTAGGTAACCAAGAACTGGAGACTTTAACACAGTTGACTGTAGCCAAAATTCATTCCGATCTGCCAAATAAGGTATGTACCCAATAAGCCACGCGGATCAGGTGAAGTCGACATAATCAGATCATGCGCAGAGTGCAAGCCACAGAGATGCAGTTTAAAGTCATAGCTCCGTGAGGCAGCCTGAAGGGGTGTGCTGCTTCCCTCATTTTGTTTTGTCTCTAGAGGGGCCTTTGGTAGGTGCCCTGGGTGTCTGGAATTGTCTAGACGGAGTGCAGAGGAGAACTTCTCTCCTTCCTCAAAATTTCCGTCATTTCCCCAGACTTCTGGTCCCTTCTCTGCCTGCGCTTGGGCCATGAAGGAATAAGAAACCCAGGAAAACCTCAGCTTAGCATGAGTCCACCTTCCCTGTTACAGCAACTAATTCTCCTTCCCTCCTTCCTTCCCTACCCTGGCAGGTGGGAGCCTGCCCAAGGGCTTGTGTTTATGCCCCCAGCACCCTTCAATGGTTGCCCAAGGGCCCGGAGAATTCCGAAGGTTCCAAAGTATCCAGTTTGCTGTGGGGAAATCCCTCAGAAACTGTCCTTGGAAAAGGATGCCATTTGTGCTTTGTGTGCCTCCGTATTTATTTTTCCTTGTGTGAGTGTGATGGGGAGAGAAGGGTTTTGTAGAGGAAGACTTTCACAGTTGCTGAGCTTTAAGGTAAAATTCAGCACAGCACAGCAGGCCCAGGGGAAATCAGTGGAGAAACAGTTTAGCTGCAGGTTTGGTAAACAAGGCTTTCAGCCAAGCAAAAGCAGTGTCCTCCCCAGTATTTAATTTCCAGTAATTATAAGGCTGATCCAGAGAGCACATGGCTGAGAGGACCCCAAACAGATACTCTTTCTTCAGGAATTGTATTTACAATCTGTCCTTAGTCACACCTGAAGAATCATGGAATTTATTTGATCGCACCAGGGACAGGAAACCAGCAGCCTGGTGGCTGGGAAGGACTTACTTCTGGTCCACCCAGACTCCTGTCTCTATGAAGAGAGACTAACTTGATCACTGCAGACTCTCCAGAATTAATCAGAGCGTTGCTTAGCTCCCAAGTAAGTTGCAGGCGCTGTACCAGGCAGGGAGGACCCAGGGTTTACAGTTAGAGGCTGGGCTGCCTTTTCCCCCCAGCACCTTTATTGAACTTCTCTGAACCTGTTTACTCGCCAGTAAAAAAAAAAAATGAAGGCAATACTGTGACCTTTCAGGGTTATGTCCTTAAATAAGATTTAACTTGTGTGAAAGCTCTTTGCTTATCCCATAAGGTGTTAAAATATATGAAAGTAGGATGCCATGCACGTCTCTCCACCACCAGAAAAGAGTCACACTTCCTCCTTCTCCCCCAGTTCCACGCAAACACCAGCTGTTCACTTCAGAGTTAGCTACTGGAAAATGTCATCTACACTCAAGACAGAGTCCCCAAACACCCAAATTATGGGTTCTTCAGTATCCGTAATTTCTTCTTTTTATTCCAAAATATGCCCGTTCCACAAAATTCTGACCTTAGTTTTTCTCCTTTTAGTCCCTCATGGAACAGCCTTGGAAGCATCCCGAGCACAGACATCTACAAAAGCACCAAGAGTTATAAAAACGTAAGTGCCTTTGTTTGATATTTGGTGGATCTGGGTTCACTAAGCTGGATTTTCCGGGGTTGCGTATTTCTCTTGTAGCATTTCTCAAGGTAGCCAAACGGCAAGACTTCTGTTGAGAAAGTCTGTCTAGAAGTCCACTGGGAGTAATATGAAAACTTTTGATCCAATGTACCCTCAGATGTCCTTGGTTTATATGAATTTTGTCCACGCTAGTTAAATGTCATTTTAATGTCAGACCATTGTAAGAGGAATTTAAAAAAATAGGCAATTCAGTTATTTCCAGAGTTGAATCAAAATTCTATTTCTCCAAGTGAAGGGGGGTCAAAAGGTACAAACTTCCAGTTATAAAATACATAAGTCATAGCAATGTAATGCACAGTAGGGTGACCTTAGTTAACAGTACTATATTGCATATTTGAAAGTTGCTAAGAGAGTAGATCCTAAAAGTTGCCATCACACGCACAAAATTTTGTAACTATGTATGGTGACATTTAATTAGACTTACTGTGGTGATCATTTTGCATTGTACACAAATATCAGGTTGTACACCTGAAACAAATGTAATACATCAATTATACCTCCAAAAAAGGACAGAGTCTCAGAAATCTCTAGAACAAAATAAAACATATCAACATATTTGTGATGGGAGTCCCCCAAAAGAGAGAAAAAAAGATACAATATTTGAATTAGTATCAAAATTTTCCCCAATTTGATGAAAGATATAATGTACAAATCCAAAACGCCCACTGAGCTCAATCAATATACACTAAGGTCCACACCTAGACACATTATAGTAACACTGTTGAAAGCCAAGACATTACGTTTTTTTAAGTAAGAGAAACAAAATTCTATTTCTGCACTGTGTTACCCTTATCCTCTGTGAAATTGTATGGAATCCTTGTAAGATTTTCTTTGTTCATTTCTAAGAAGAGACTTTCATGTTCTGTCACCAAGAACCTTGTTGGACATCTTTCCCTAACCTTGGAATCAGAAGAAATAATATTAATACAGAAAACAAAAAACAAAGAAAATAAACAACCCAATGATGGGCTTGTGTTCCCTGCAAATAAGATTGCTCAGTGACCACCAGAGGGAACAACGATGAAAAACTGAGAAGGAGAGAAAATAAAGGGGGTTGGTCCAAGATGGTGGCACAGGAAGATTCTGAACTCACCTCCTCCTACGGACACACCAAATCTACAGCTACATATGGAATAATTCTTGCTGAAAAAGAACTGATAGCTAGATGAGCAGCTCTTCCACAACAAGGAATTAAAGGGCCACAGGAGACAAGTAGGAGAGGCAGAGATGCAGTCTCCCAAAACCCCACTGCTGGCTCCACAGCCCATGATAGGGAGGGATCTCCTAAGTCCAGGGCTTCTCCCTCAGGAGCAGGCAGTTTGTGCCCCACATCCCTTGGGACCTGCACCAAAGAGACGAGGCCTCTAAAATGTCTCGCTTTGGAAACCAGTGGGGCTACATCCAGGGGCCCTGGGAGGGGTGCTATGGGAATGAGATATTTCTTTGAGAGGCTCACTTGTGGACTCACTCATCCTGGGACTCAACACGAAGGCAGCAGTTTGAAAGTGCCTGGACTATATTGAAAGAAATTCATTTGCTCA